CAGTGTACTAAAATTGGTTATTCGAAAGCAAATTCTGGTGATATCTCATTAAATTTTTTATATTGTTTGGTCTTTGATACAGGTTGTGCCCGGAGAATTGACAATCGTAACAGGAATTCCAAATTCAGGCAAGAGTGAGTGGATTGATGCTCTATTATGCAATCTTAACCATAGTGTTGGTTGGAAATTCGCACTTTGCTCGATGGAAAACAGGGTAATTTTTGTTCTCCTAACTAATGTGCAGGAATTTCGTGCTAAAAGTTAACTAGTACGACACTACACGAGTGCATGAAAAAATAATTTGAATAAAAAAATAAAAGAGTTTAGTTATTGTAAGTCTATACAAAATAAATAAATAGAAGTTTCATAAAACAAAAACTACTATACATTGTTATTTTATTTCAAATTCTCAAAAGTGTTTTTGTACACACCATTATTAGTGCTACTTAAAATTTATCAACTTAGAAAAATAAAAGAATATGATGAATGGGCTAAAATTTATCAACTTGGAAAAATGAGATAAGTAATGATAGTTAAGATAAGGGCTAAAATTGATGAGAATTGAGATAAGAGACGTGTTTAGTTAAGATTATTAATTATATTATCAATAATTATATATAATTTTAGTTTATCATTATTTATTACGCAAACAAAGACTCAAAAATAAAAGTTATCAACTTGAAAAATAGAAATTATGATGAATGGGATAAATCCTTAGTAAAATGAAATAAGGAAATAAAGTGTGTGATCTTTAAATTGAAGACAAATTTGGTAATGAAGAGAGATTGATGGGAGGCAATAATGTGTGGTGAAAAAGTTATTTATGGCACTTTTCAAGCCAATTTTCTTTCCAAAATTTTTATCCGAACCTAAATACAAAGCATGATATTGTGGCATGTAGGATTCCAAAGCGTGCGAGCCTGCCACTTAGGCTCAACACGTTTTGAAATAATATATAGGGGATATGTTGAAATGGAATCATGGCTGCATAGAACTTAAATGCTGAAATTTGTTTGTTAGAGTTCTTAATATTCAATCCTAAAAAATTCAACTTTTTTGTCAGCTTCTGTTATTTTTTCTTTCACCACTATTCCTCAAATTGTTGTGTTATTGCTACAATTACTGCACAATTTGAATTCCTTTGAAATGACATGATGAAGTTTTCTAGAATGTAATCTTGGGTACTAATGCTAACAAACCAATAGTTGTGGTTCATAATCATTTACTTTTACGGTCTTAGCAAGTTAATATAATATTTTTTAAGCTTTGAGGTTTGATGCTAAGAGCTTTTATTATATCTTTGTACATATAACTTTGTTATAAGTTGCATGATGCTCAGTTCTTTTTTTCAGGTACGAGAACATGCAAGGAAACTTCTAGAGAAACATTTAAGGAAGCCTTTCTTTGATATTAGGTATGCATTTGGTGAGATTTGTTGATGAAAATTTATGATCCTCGATTTTCAGTTTCTCGAGGTTATTTTATTGATTGTTTAATGGCGGTGTTGCCAATGTAAACAGATACGGGCAGCATATTGAGAGGATAAGCGTTGAGGAGTTGGAAGTAGGAAAAAAATGGCTCAGCGATTCATTTGCCTTGATAAGGTTACATTTATCCTATATATGCTTATAATATGTTACACACACGTGCCATTCTCAGAAGAAATCTTACATTTTTATGCACATTCTTCTAAGATATTATAGTGTTTGGCACGTGAGGTTAATCCTTTTTTTTTTTCACTGCGCTTTACAAAACAGGTGTGAGAATGATTGCCTTCCGAGTATAGATTGGGTTCTTAATCTCGCAAAAATTGCAGTTCTCCGCCATGGGGTTAATGGACTTGTGATTGACCCGTATAACGAACTTGACCATCAACGACCCCCTAACCAGTGAGTCCCTTTTCTTTTTTTCCTAAATTCGTAAAATGCATACTTGTGTTTATTTATATTATAATTACAGAATACTTGCGTGAAGCACATCGACCGTTTTTTATTATTTGGTTTGCGGATGGCTATGTAGAGTTGGTTTATTATAATATGAGTTTAATTTCTCGTCACGTAAGGTTAGTGCTTGGATATAAGTTGTGATTGGGTTTTTTCCAATCCGAAGACAAATTGAACTCAACCCCAACTCCCCCAACTCTGCTCAAGATAATATTACAAATCAATCATCCTCAAACATCACATCAACTTTAATTAATTATTTATCCACTCACATAATTTAATTACCTCTCTTCAATCACCTCTATCCTACTTTTATTGTTTACATCAAATCAACTTTAATCATTTTATTTTAAATATTATTTTAATACAAATTCAAAATCCCACTCAAACCTCCAACTTTTTCAAAATTAACTCTTGTTAAAAAAAAAAGAAAAAAAAAAAAGAAAAACCCCCCCATCAAAACACAACCCAACCTATATCCACGAACACCCTTATTAGAAGCTCAATAAATCTTACCGTTTTCTGTTAATTAAATTAAACCGAAAACAGGACTGAAACAGAATATGTGAGTCAGATGCTGACGAAAGTCAAACGGTTTGCGCAACATCACTCGTGTCACGTTTGGTTCGTGGCTCATCCGAGACAGGTTGGATTTTGGAAAATCGCAACGCTTTAACTTTATTATTTATGCTCCTAAATTATATTCTTTTAATTATAAAAAAACATTTTACCGTCAATTTTTTTTTTTTTTTTTTTTCTAGTTGCATAATTGGGTTGGTGGGCCACCGAATATGTACGACATTAGCGGTAGTGCGCATTTTATTAACAAATGTGATAACGGTATTGTTATCCACCGTAACAGAGATCCAGAAGCTGGTCCAGTCGATTTAGTTCAGGTGAATTGTGCTATTTTTCTCGAGACTCAATTAAACAAATGCTAGTAAATGTTAGTCACAATTTTTTTTCACCATTTAACGATTGTTTGTTTGTTTTTTTGTTTGTTAAGGTTTGCGTGAGGAAAGTGCGTAATAAAGTTATAGGAACAATTGGAGATGCTTATCTAACGTATAACAGGTAAAGATCCTTCTTCTTTATGCGTGTATAAAAGAATAGGTTATGATAATCTATCGGTTGCTTGTGCATTTAGCGGTAATATAAAGAATAGTTGATTGTAGTCAAATGTGATGGCCTTATTACTTGTAAAAGATTTAAAGATACGGTTCGGAAAATGTGAGAAAATTTCACGTTTGTTTACGATGCTCGATTTTGTGAAATGATTTAGCAATATGTTTGTATGTTATTCAGGGTCACTGGTGAGTACGGGGACATTGACAAGTCATCCCAAAATGAGAAGCGCAATGAGAAGCGCAGATAAATAGCATATCCATCCCGGACTATTATTCTTACAGGTTGTATTTCACATTTGAAGCCCTTTTTTTTTTTTAATTGTCTGATATAAATTTATGAGCATTTAGATATGTAAATGATTTTGGGGGTTGCTGTTCAATTGTTTGGTTTCACATGGTTTCATGTCATTGTAATGTATGTGAAAATTAGGTTATTTCGTTTTTTGGTTCTTTAAAAGATTTTTTTTTTCTTTTTTCAAAAAATTGTTTTTTTAATCTCGTTACATCAATTTTACTTCACTATTTATCTATTTATATATTTTTAACTATCTATTATTTTCACTAACTTTTTTTTTCTTATTTTTAAGTTAAATTAATTCAAATTATTACATTTTAGTTATTTAAATATTAATTTAAATTTCCACTCGATTCTTTACTCAATTAAATTTATTCAGAATTAACTCACTTAAACTCTGAAGTTTTTCAAGTACAACCCAACAATTCAAGAACTATAATTGGGTTGATATTAGGGTGCCAAAAATAGGAAGAAAATGTATCAAATTACATAGGTTCATTCAAAAATAAATAAATAAACTAAATTAAAAATAAAAAATAAAAAAAAATGAATTAGAAAATATGTACGTGCAATAAAATTAAAAGCATAATTATTCATTAAAGCATGTATACTTGCCAACCTATCATTTCCTGTTGGTGAAATCAATGTGGGACAAACACACAAGGCAAAATTCTATGATTTTTAGATCGGATGTTGTGATATATGAATGTATTATAAGTTAAAATATTTTGGGTTTCAAAAGTCGAATATACATATTTTACGACCTGCAAAATTTTATTTTCAATATATATATATATATATATATATATATATATAT